GTTTTGGCTGGAGGGTCATTACCTTCTATTACTTGGCTGAAGGACCGTCACCCATTGAGGTCATCAGACAAAGTAATGATTCACCCCGATGCCCTTCAAATCAGAGGTACTTATGGAATAGACCACTGCCCATTCTTTGTCATGTACGTCATTCTCTCTTGCCAGGTTTGCAGAAAGCTGATTCCGGACTGTACACATGCAAGGCTACAAATGAGCATGGCGAAGACACATGGTCAGCCGAACTGACTATCGAAGACCACACAAACCCGAACGTGATATTTCGGCGCATGCCTGAGCCGTCCACCTTTCCTTCACCTCCTGGTCGGCCACAGATGGTCAACGTGACCTCGTCAATGATCACACTGCAGTGGGACCCTCCAACGAACGAGGGCTTCTCTCCAGTTATCGGTTACCGCATCCAGTATTTCAGTCCTCAGATCGGATTGCACTGGAACAACCCGTTGGACATCATTCGGACTAATCGCTTCTCACTGACCAAGCTCAAGCCATCGTCTTACTACCTCTTTGCCGCTCGTGCCGAGAACAGTCATGGCATCAGCGAACCGAGCCCCCTTTCGATGGTGATACGCACGACTTCGAACGGTAAAAGCGCTACCTGAGAAATTGCTTGTCTTTACCTGGCACAGTCATGGCCTTGTGATTTCTTCGCGCACTCGACAATAGTTAAGCGGACAGTCAAAGATGTGGACCCGTTTCTTTCGTTCGAATTTTAATATCCGGGTTATCCTTTGTTTAGTCAGATTTTCTTCATCACCACCTAAGGATATTTCTTTATGGCTTTTTTATTAGCCGGAAATGTTTGATTCTCTAACGATGACTTATAGTTTCCATATCGGTTAGTAATAATGAGAATATTCTAATATTCTGTTAGTGGTTGCTGTTATTTGAGCATGGCTTCTCGACGTTTGAACATTCAAGATGAGTTTGTATGGTATCGTCAGTACTGCCTTATTATATTCACAAATGCACTGCACAAACCAGTTCAGAATCAATAAGGCCGTCAAACAGGGAGACCAGTATCACCGAAACTATTCACAGCTGCCATAAAGATATTTTCAAGACACTCTGTAAGAAGATCAGTGGATAAACATAAATCGCCACTACCAAAGTAACCTGATGTTTGCGAACAATATTATGATCGTTTTTGGGTCATCAGACGAACTATAAAGAAGTGCCTAGAACTGAATGATCCCAGTATGAAAGTTTGAGTGACAATGAACCTGAACAATTCCTTCAGGTCTTGTTTAAGAAATACGTCACTGGAGACCTCTTTCAAAGGAATTAGGCTTGATGATGTGGAATTCTACGTCTGTCTGGGAGAATCGACTATAGAGCTTGTACGACTGAACATATTACTTAACCAGGAACTCTCTGCCTTGAAGCAGGCTCGTGAGAACGGTCGAAACGTCGATATAGGTCAATCATGCGACTGACCAAATTGTTTGCGTTCTCAATCAATAAGTCGTGCTTTATGCTTTTGTCTAAATACCAACAAATCATACTCGTTACATGGACAACTAATAGATGCGAATATGATAAAATTTGTATTCAAAATTTGGTGATGTAGTGTAAGACTCGGCGTTGCTGTCTTTAGTACAAACTGGCAGCAAGTTTAATAAAAGTTCTATACGGTGAAATGCATGAATAAACATGGGCCTATCCTGCTGTCCTTAAACCTGATTGCAACATTCTCTCCCTCTCCCGATGACGGTGTCCACAGCTGGTGCATTTCACCCGGCAATCACCATTAAAACAACGGAATGAAACATAAGCGTTTGACCGATCAGAACAATCTTATTCTTCTATGTGCCCTTCACCGATGGCATCGGTCGTGAATATCAACTATTCATTTTCGATAGCATACGTGCCTACCATGCCGCATATTTAAATTATCTTTTCAACATAAGATCTGTCGATATACCAAAATGCAGTCAGCCCGGTAGAGGTGCCCGATGAAATCGACAGATTGGCCGAACAGTTTATAACCATTATATTTGGAGGTATGATGCTGTTGTTCAGAATTGTTTCATAATGATTTTAGTAACGTCTTAATTCGAAATTTTTATGTTAATTCAGATATCGCAGACGTTCGATTCCAAGTTCAGTTTGATTTTCGTTTTTTATGCACTTAAAGGACGCATCGACTTGCATCAGTATGGGTGATCAGCAAGGCATTGCTTTAAGTAACAAAATTAAGTGAAATGAATCTGTGCCTTTCATCTGCTGTGATGCAATGAAACCGTGGCTTCCATAAGTAATAGTATGATCAGAAAATAGAGGCGTGGTTGAGTTTGTCAGGTTAATCAGCGTAGATTATGATTTCGTTTTATTCTTATAGGAACATCTTGGCGATTTATAACCTCTATGTAGCTCAAAGCCTAAAGCCCAGGTGCATAAAAGTTCAGAAATCCACAAGAGGATTGTACGATCTATTTTTCTATCGCTGTTTTTATATAACATTTTATATATTTGTTTCATCCTGTTGTCTGTTCAGTTTAGTTCGTCAATCGTCATTTTTTAAGAGGTAAATGACATAATCAGAAATATCCCCGAGGTTTATCCATCCTTGCTTGTGTCTAGTGTTTTCCATAGACAGTTTTTTAGTTAATCATGAGATATCTGTAAATCTATAATCATGAAATATCTGGATGCTGATGTTCTACGTTCACGTACTCGGTAAAATGTTTTGTTATGATTAACATCTGTTAATTATTATTTGCATGGAATATCGAAATATTCATCAAATGCCAAATTATAGTGGGTGGCGTTGTTGATACGGATTACGAATTGGAGATGGCTCGTAAGAGTCTGACCGATGCCCAGTTGGTGAAACTACGCGAAGTGAAACCGATCAATGCATCGGCGGTTAGAGTCACATGGAAAGTACGATATCGCGTGGAGTTTGATTCCGCTGAATAACTTACGACGGTGTTAATTGTAGCTTTTGCGACTCGAACCGCTTATCACTGGCTTTTACATTCGTTGGCAGGGTGCTGCTCCACATCAGCAGGGACTGAGAAACGTCACTTCGCGGAGTGGAGTATCCAGCTGGAGCACCGTTGTTTCGTCGCTGCAGCCGTATACCACTTACAAGTTCTTTGTTATACCGTACTTTCGTACCGTCGAAGGAGCACCCAGCAACAGCCTTGATGGCGTAACCGAAGAAGCTGGTAATAGTCTATTTGCTTGCACCGTTTCGCATGTGTCCCATTGAATATTTTTTCCAGGGGATGTGCGCTGCATGCTCCCTCTTTCTCAAAACAGAACAGATAATCGGATATTAGCGGTTTACTGAGGCTCCCCCCATCCCGTCCAGTAGAAGCAAGGAACGGCACGACTACCCCGTCTAAATCCGGGAAAGTGACAGGAAAATGCACTTCTTACCGGTGTAATAAATTCTAGCAATTTTTTTAGCAAATCCATAATGGCGCCATTTATTTTTGATATGTATGCTACGGAAAGCAGTATATTCTTTATTGTTCAAACATGTTATTGCGACCCAGCTGGTGATGCTCTTTTGTGTCCATGCACCACAGTTATTATGTAGTCATAGATTGGTCAAACGATCCTTTTGGCTGCTAGAAGGAATGAGACCTTGCGGCTGCGGTCTATAATTCATTAGAAAACGCAGTAGATCATGTGATAATTTTTTGCGGGTTAAATGGCACGAGAACTGTTTCACTGGAAAACATAATTTCACGGCGAAACATTTAAATTATTCGAAATAGCATCAAGCCATGACCGGCTTAAGTGGTCCTTTATACAACTATAAACTTGCCGGTGTTACATCACTCATTTCGTACAGCAGTAGTAAACTGACATCTTTGTTCGACCTGCAGTAGTGTTGGCGGATGTTATAATACTTTGGAACCCTGCCCTGCGTAGATGTCCCGCTAAGCGATTGAAAGTAAGCAACACGTGCGACTTCGTCGTTTTACTCCGTTTAACGTGACTTCCACTGGCATCACATGTAAAGCAGCATTCCTTTTATCCCATGGCATCGAAGACGACGTCGAGTGCCTTACACGCATTCCATATGGATCGAATAAGCGCATGCCCACTCTTCGGTCATTTCGATTTCATGCCTGTTCTAAGCAGATCTTCCAATGTTGTTAGAAGTCTTCCTGACGGTCGCCTGTCATCAGGCTTTGCGTTCAGTATCCGCTTCGCAACGCAGCTATCATCCATTTGTTTGAAATGACCTCACCATCTTAACAACCTTGTTTGTAGCCAGTCAGTCATTTTAGTTGGATATTGTATTCTCTCTTACAGCAGTGCCACGCGACCTATGATAGTAATGATCTGATGATATTAATTTCCATTACTTCCAGAATTTCTTGTTCAGCTTTGCTAGATACTCCATGTTCAGGCCACAGGGCAAGACGTTCAGAATGCAAACTCCTGTATATCCGCAGTTCTGTACTATGTCCAACATTTTTGTTCTTTTAGATATTGAACAGCTTGATGTCCGTTGCTAATGCAAATGCACAGAATATCTTAATTTCATTTGTATACATTCCCATGCTACAGGTGTTTCGTTACTTTTTACACAACTACGATGTCAAGCCCTATTCCTTCTTTGGTTTATCTTCTACCAGTTTTCATAGACTGCGCGTTAAGTTGAGAGTGAGCCGCCATTTCTACCTCGATGCGGTGTCCCTTAACAAACTTTGATCGAAACCTGGACCTAAACCGGATCTTCAAATAGGTAGCTTTTTTTTCCAACAGCTTCTTGTAGAATTCAAACGTATTCTTCTTCAGTATGTACGTATGATTTAAATGTCGATTAAATTTTAATAAATAGCATCTTTCGTTTCAGTTCCGAGCGCGCCGCCGTCTGACGTTCAAGTGCGTATGATGAATTTGACCACTCTTCGTATATCCTGGAAACCCCCTCCCCGTGAGTTTATCAACGGACTGCTGCGCGGCTATCAAATTCTGGTGTTGTCCAACGAATCACGTTTGTACCGTAATATTACGACCGGCGAGAGAGCAGCTAGCGTCACGTTGTTTCGACTGGTCACTGGCATGACGTACAGAATTCGAGTGACGGCGTTCACGACGGCAGGCTTGGGCAGTCAGTACAGTGAGGACGTTGTGACGATGAGTAAGCGGCGATGTGTTAACGAGTTGTTTCGTAACGATGTCCATTGTTTTCAGATGAAGCTACGCTTCAGCAACACTTGGCATTGGAGGTTCAGTCTTCCTCGCAGCGATGGCGTGAGTTTGCTCAGGAGCCGTGGTTCATCGCTTGCATCGGCGCGTTCATGTGGCTGTTGTTGGTTGTGGCCGTTGCGGCAGTCTGGTGGCGGCGTCGGCGGTTGTACAAGACGTCCATCAACAATTCTGGACCGTTTATTAAGATCAACGACGGCTCAGTGTTGAACAGCGCTCGCGACGTGCTTTGGATCGATCCTCATCAGTACTATGGCGCTCATTGTTCACATCCGGGCACCCTGGCTGTCGCTCCGCTGAACAACGGCTACATGATCAACGCCGCTGATTCGCCGCCGCGCTTTACTGGAAAGGGCGAAGAATCATCGCTGTTCATCAACTCCTCAGGCGGTGCCTCATTGCACCCCGATGCCGAGCGGCCATACACTGAACTCAGCCAGTTGAACTATTCTATGTCCGCTGGCCCTGTACCGTCCTACTATCACCAGATCCCGCTGACCAGCACGACATCATCCTTGCAAGGCTGCCAGCAGTGCAATCCACCCTCATCGCCGACGCCATATGCCACGACGACGTTGGTGATGAATGCTCATAACCAGCGGTTATATCAGCAGCAGAACTTGCTGATGAACGCTCCTCCTTACGGCGATCGCCAAAACTGTGTACATAACAAGGGCAAAACAGCCGAAGCCATGAACCGTGACCCCACCTCCGGTAACAGTCCGCCACATACCGATGTGTCGTACATGTCCGGAGGAACCGGCAGCGCGAACAGTGTCAACTGCAAGAAGAGCCGGCCGCAGCAGCCGCCACTTCTGGATTTCTTGCCTCCTCCGCCCGCGCAGCCTCCACCGCCGGCAGGTGATTCTTTGTTGCATGTGCAGTCGCCCTTGTTCTTTTCCAAAGCGAATCCGGTCGATCAGGGTTCACATCCGTTGTCTAGACATCACCTGTCTGACAAAAGTGCTTCAGAGAGTTCTATTTGTCAGACGGACGCCGCTCGTTGTCACACTGTAAACTACCGAAGGTCGAAGCACAAGGACAGGGACAGGCAGCCGTCAGCACCATCGCAGTCCGGACTGCGCTACAATAGCGCGTTTTCGAATGAACAGTTAAACTTCATGGAAAGAGTACGTATTCCGTTGTACTTGTCACATTTTTCACTGAAATATGCAGGATCGCGGCAGTGACT